TCTGGGGCGAAATTATCTGTTGTACCCGTTTTGAGTTTACTTGCTCTACTTTTCTTTGATAGTTTTTCAGTAGTTTTACGTGTTTTTACTGTGGAACTATCAGTTTTGGAAGTACAGTTACAGGCTTTGAATTGATCTGGTACAAAAGTATCTGTTGCACCAGTTTTGAATTTACGAGCTCTGCATATTTTTGATAATTCTTTATTATTTTGACATGTATTTTTTTTAGACTGACCTGCTGTGCATGTGCATGTTTTGGGAGCACAGTTACAGACTTTAGATTGATTTTTTAATCGATTTTTAATAGGTTTGCATATACATTTCGCGGAAGTACTGCTTAATTGCTCTATTTCATAATCATCTGTTTTAGATTGGTAAGTTGCGAAATCGCTTAGTTTGAAATTACGTGTCATGCGTTTCTTTAATATTTCGTCGTGACGTTTACATTTTCCTGTTTGGATTTTAGTTGGCAGGGGATTATCTACAGGAAAATCGTGTGTTGAGGAATATTCTGAATCATCTGTTGAAGAATATTTTGTATCATGGGTCTTATCTTTTATTTTTGTTCCGGACGTATATGATTCATCATCATCATCATCATCATCGAAGGACTTAGTTATTTTAGATGCATTTGAATTATTTTTTTTGAGAATATACATTTGAGAGTAATTTGGTTTATTTAATTTCCTCTTTGTCTCACTTACTTTTTAATAAGTGAAAATTAAATAAACCAAAATAACAACACAAACCCATTGAGATTGTAGATAAAACGTCAAATTAACACTTGACAGCCAGTTGATTCAAGCATTGACAATGTCAATAGTTTTTTTAACTGACTTGGGAATGAAGCTGCTTGTGTGTAAGTATTGAGTATCGATGTATGTAACATTCACTTCACCAGCACCAAAGGTTCAACTACACTGTCGAACATCGCCGAGTAAACTGGTACAAGTACAATGTGTATTATTTGGATGGGTGTGCTATATAAAAACAATGCTTTATATAATGTAATCTGGGTAAATGGCTTGCTGTAACTTGACAAAATCTGACTATCTCTATGAACTTTTGTCCGGAATTGTGGACCTCAGTAGTATATTAGATTGAATAAGTACCTGCTTATTTATCAACCAATTAAGTTAAAAATGATGAGGTTTACTGTAAACCCATATACTTAGCTACAATAATAAACGACATGAATTTAACAAACAAAAGTATATGTAGGTACTCTTAAGTCTAAATATCAATTATAACGTAAACTTCAAATTTGTTATCCTTTGGTTCCTCAACAATCTGCATCGCTGAATATGTTATAGCTTTCACTTCTGTTCCTTGTGGATGCTTGCCAATTTGAAATTCCTCACCATAACACTTACAAACTATCCTAAACTCTTCCGTATTAAATTCAGTTATTACCAACTTTTTACATATTAAAAAGGGTTCGGCAGAGAATAAAAACAGTAATTCGTCAAGAAAATGGTACAATAGACCAAGCATATCATCAGCTGATGCTTCAATAGTGTGCACTTGCTTGATTTGTACGTAATTGAGTTCAGTCATGTAACCGAACATAGCCATGCCGCATTGTTCGAAAGCTTCTTTGAGACTGTCTCCCCAAGCATGCAATCTGAAAAATAAAATAATTAGTACATTTCTAATAATGGAAATCAGTAAAGTTTATTCATCAGTTTTGCATCTGAAATTCACAGTGGCAACGCCACCCCACCTCCCGTTTGGTTCTGTATCATCCATCAGCTTTTACAAATTATCAAGGACTACTTTACATTTGCAAAATTTATTGCATCACAATACGTAATTTTGAGTCATGCATTAACTTATTAATTAATAATATTTTATGTGCAACATTCTAAAAATTATCAACTACGTACAGATTTACTTTTATAAAGAATAAGGAAAAGATTAAAAACCTTATCATAATGAATGTGTGAATTATAGTTTAATGTAGACTTACTGTACATCTGCTGTGTGATCCAAATCTGCGAAAGAATTTGTAAGAACACATTAAAAGTAAATATATAAAACCAACGATATCTATATACTAGTATACTAGCGTTATAAAACTTGAAACCTGTGTAAAGAAGCATAATAATTAAAATGCATGTTTATTGAACTCACATTCATATTTGACAGGAGGTATCGTAAAATCATCTTCTGTAAGTCCTAATTCTTCGTCCATTTTTATTTATCCTATATAAATTTGACAAGAGAGTTCACTACTGATATATAAATAAAATTCACGTAAAATTCTATACGGCACACAATATAACAGCTGGCAGGCAAACAAATGGAGAAAAAGTTGACATTGACAGTAACAGTTGGTAGCCATAGACTATACTGTTTACTTTTTTTTATTATTATTTATTTCCATCTTCCAAGATTAAATTATTTGATGATAATACTACATAATATGTCTGTCGATGATAATGATATTATTGATTGATTGGGTTGCTTAGACGGCAAATCCGACACTGGAAATCAAAATAAAACGGGTATAATGTCATATTCACACACAATGAACACGAATTTCTGCTTCTTTCCGAAACAGTTTTTCGCAAAAAATCTCATCAATATTTAATAATTCGAAGATCTGGCAATATATTCTCGAAGGATGTTACATTTTATTATACAGGGTTAAGAGCACGTCAAGCGTAAAGCTTGAAACTTAAGACTTAAATCTAACTCTATGCCGCTTACGATAAGAGCGATCCAAAGTACAAACTGTCAAGCTTGATGTGCTCTTGAATGTACCTTAACATTTAATTATGTATTCGTGTTATCGCTAGTATAACAATTTGTTGTATTGCTACTGTGTTGGGTAATTTTTCGAAAAATTTCAGTGGAAATTTTTCCGGAAAAATTCCCGAAAAATTGGGAATATTTGAAAAACTTGGAAAAATATAATTTGGAACGCTTACATTATTTTCTACGTTTAGAAATATCTTTTGGAGTTTTATTTAGCGTCAAAGTAAAAGCTACTTAATAGAAAAACTAGATTTAATTTAAAATAATTTCACAACAGCGAAAAACCTCCAATTATCACACCGCCAATCACGCCGTGATTCTTGTCGTCTGACTGTTATTGTTAACATAGTTCAATCATTTATCGAAAATAATAATCAAGCTTTAATATATATGCTGATTTACAATAGCTACCCGATGTAAAAGGAAATGGTAGGTTGGGTAGGTCCCTTTATATTACCTACCATTTCCTTTTTCATCCAAATTCCGTACCTCTTCCATAATTTGTAACCTCGCTTTCCCAACAATTTCATTGGCTAAATGTGAAGGCAAAGCCATTAACACTAAAAAAAAAGTACTAGTCGTGTCATTATTTTATTGTCATTTCATATAATTGTCACAAATTGAAAATTTTTAAATACCATTCCAATGATTTTCATTTGTTTATGCTCAAACTATAAACTTGTTTATAGTAGGTTTAGTAAATTTTGTAATTTTTGTTTCGTGTAAATTACTGCTGAAATGGATCCGATCGCTGTCCTACAAAATAGGATTGAGCAACTAGAAGCAAAGTTGGGTTTGGCTCCGAACGCTCCCGAAAACATTCACCAGCATCATGGGGACTCCGCGACCACAAATTTACTGCACGCAGCGCAGGGCATCACCAACGCTACTGTGGGACACGAGAAATTGCCAGAGGCCATGCACTTGGCCAGTGAATTGAACAACTACACGGATCCTAATTTGGCTGAAAACGTAAGCTTTTGTTTCATATGTCCATTTGTTATTACCATGACTCAACTTGGTTAGAGGTTTGCAATATTTGGAAGGACTTTAGTAAATGTGACGTCAGAGAGGGATTGAGGGGGAGGGTAGGAGACCACCCCTGCAAAATTTAAAAGTTAGGACATTGATAGTTTTCGAGATATTAATTTTTGAAAATTAAAAAAAAAGTACCTCAAAATTATATATTTTTGCACCAAATACGCGGAAAAAAGAGTAAACAATGTGGGAATGAGGGGTATGCGAGGGGAACCCGCCCACGAAGTTTCAAACTAATAATATTAATAGTTTTTGAGAAAAAAAACTGAAAAATAACCTCAAAATCATGCATAATAAAATTGGTGGAGAGGCCCAATATTTGTACAGTCTCATTTCATCACAAGAATGTCGTTTTTTTTAAATCTATTTTTTGTTGCTTTCTAGCTGCAGCAAAACGAGATGCATGCGCAAGAGGTAGCAGCAGCCGAGAATGTGATACGGCATCACTGCCACTGCATGCATCAGTGTAGACAGGTGAGACTTGTATATACATATATACTTGTATTTTTAATCTGGTGATTGTCGGGGAGGACTACAAACAAATACAGATGTAATAAGTGTCAGATGTAACAACAAAAACTTGATAGTCTGTTCCAATCCATATTGAACAGAAAGTAAACAAAACTGGTTAAAATTCTAAAGCAATCACTCAATAAATCAAATAAGTATCACTTTCATGTATATTTCAAAGATTTCGGCTTGATATCTCATAACTTTTTCCAACAATATTCATTTGAATAGCATCATAAAATCATATTTTAAAAATGGTAGTCGAAAAGTGAGGTTATTTTTCATCTATACTTCTATGATTTGTCGATGGTTGCATAGTGCTGTAGGAAAAAAACATTTGATTCATTCAATTAAAGTTTTTTAATCAATTAGTAAATCTAATATTTCAATCGCAATCGAAGGACTATCTGGGTATAACGATTTGAAGGAGGAATTCAAATTAAGATTTCCAAAAATTTTAATATACTTATATAGGATAAATAAGGAAAACCGCTACTATGACTTAATTTAAGAAATGTATTCATTCAATTAATTAATCGATTTGTAGTTGGCATTACAATTGGTCATCACTAAACCGTCTATGATTTGCATGATTTACATTTTGTTCAAAATGGATTGAAATGAAGTATAAATATATGTTAAAGTTCATGTAACTAAAGTTGTTGTTTATGATGTAGTCATAGTTCTGCAAGGCTGTTAGTATTTTATAAATAACCCTGTTTGTGATCCAAAATGCTCTCCTCCAGCAAAATAGGCACCATATCATACCATGCCCTTCTCCAGCCGCATTCATAAAGAGAATTGTCTTTTATTCTAATACTAAATTACTAATTATTAATAACTAGTAACATACAAATTAATCAGTAATCTTTTCTGTACACTACATTGATTCTTCAAATTTGATTTACGGACCAACACACTAACCTTTTATTTTTCTCAAGGATTCAGTGCACGACATTAATTCACAGAATTTAAAATACCTCTAAAAAGAGATTTAACATACCAGTTTTTCTACTTTTATTGTAGGCAGCACCAGTGATGGACTCACAGCCAATACAACAGGTTCCCCAGATGCAAGAGACAGTGAATAACCTACAAGCAGCTGCAGCTGAAGTAAAAGCTGATGCAGATGTAGTATGTTAACTAATTTATTTTGATTGTACGTCTGATAGTTTTAATTGCCTGTTATTTATACCAGAGTCCTTCTTGGAGTGCTACCTGCTAATCAGTTCAAAGTTAAGAACAGTGATGAGTTCATTTTTCTATTCTTTGTTTTATCCCACCTGAAGCCCACTAAGATATTATAGATTCTAGGCAGATGAGACAATTATAATAATTGTATCCTAAGTCAACGTTGCTCTCTTATAGATATGTGAAACCCACTCCTAAGCAGCCACATGATTTAACCAGCGAGCTAAAAATAATCAAGAGCTGAAAAAGTCTTACAGCTCTTTAAGTTACCCTTGGCTCTCAGTTGTAAGTAGTGGTGAAATTGCTGGTAACAGTGATGGAAGGTTGCTAACATACATGGTGTACATGTGTATGGCGTTACCATTCTTGGCTTATTATGCTATCGTTTTAGGGAGGGCTACAGGATTATTTTATTATATTATTCCATATTTTGGCTGTATTCAATACCACAACATATCTGTACATTATAAGTTTGCCAGCTCAACTTGTTAAGTTATGATTTTCTTTATTTGCAGGTTTCTCAAGGTGTTGCTGAACTCGCCGAAACTGTTGGAAATGCAGCTGCTAACGCCTCAGAGCAGCTAGCGGCTGTAGCTGAGAAAGTCGACCAAGTTGAGGAGAAAAAATTCCCTAGGAGGAGGAATGGTCTTGACTAATGGAGGCTCTCTGACCAATTCATGTGTGGTGCTGTTATTTTGGATGTTTTGCGAATGATTCGTGATATTTATTTAAAATTATTTATAAATCCCTTAAGAAATTACAGATTAAAAAGCATGGACATTTTTGTAGTACTTCTTATTATTGACATTTAAGAAATATACAGAGCGCTCAATTGCGTGTCTTATTCCAGCGTGGATTGTAAAACATCCTCGGTAACTTTAAAACAGTGTATGACCGCCGTTTTCTCGTGGTCCCACTAATAAATGTAGGTTTATTGAATCGGATGAACCAAATTACGAGACAGGGCTGTCGCGCCGCCCAATGGGCCACTAGTGGCGGGCTCGAAACGCCACCACTAGTGGTCGAGTCGATAGGTACCCCTTGTGCCATATTAAGTGCCACAGTGATAATGATAACCTTTTTTTGCATGTTTTATTTTGGATTACGATGGTTCACAAAGAGACGTAATGAATAACGTGAGTCGCAGGCGGGCACATTTGTTGCTACTAATTTTCAAAATTCGGTATACACCTTTTTTATTTTTCTTTAAAAATACTTCCATATTCTTATCGTTCCTAAAACTCGATAAATTCTTGGAATAACGTTGCGTAATTAAATCTAGTTAGTGTGATAGTTTCTTTTTCTATGTGCCAGAGATTTTCCAAATGAATGTGCTCGCGGATCTCGCACATGACTAAACTAATTTTGAAAACCATAGTCTTAAAAAGCACCTTTCTATTATAATATTGTTTCGGGCCGCACATGATAGCTGCGACCCGCCAGGTCGCAGGTTGAGAATGGCTGCAATAGACGCAGCCACCAGTCCCCTAGTAGCTGGCTGCATGGCGCGGGCCACTTCCGCAGTGACTCGAAAGCGGCCACTCGAACACCCGTTTATCCGTAACTTGTGGTCGCGTTTTGTACCCGCCACTGGGGGTCTACTCTCGATCTCCGTCCGAAACAATTACTGCCAAATAAGCAATACTTGACCAAATGAAAGAACGCGTGATGCGAATGAAGCTTCATACTTGACACTTGTCTTTTAATTTTGTCGAATATTACTTATTTGACAGTAATTGTTTCGGACGGAGATCGAGAGTAGACCCCAGAAGACCTAATAGGTGGGCGGATTTAGTGCAATCATGGCGGGCCTTATTCCAGCGTGACCATAGTCGAGTTCTTGAAATTTGACTAGCCAGATAAACTGTCGCTATTTAGTCGGTTTTAGTCGCAAAAAACTACATTTAGTCGGTCTGCCGTTCAAAATGTATAAGGGTGGTTGCTGTCCTTACTGAAATAAGCTTATTCCAGCGGCACCATTTCTCAATCTCGACAGCCACAACAGCTAGCTTAGATCTGATTACACTAAAAAAGTCGTGATTTAGTCGGTTCTAGTCGTAAAAAATTAGATTTTGTCGTTACGCCATTTTGATGTTATTAAGGTGTTTACTGTCCACGCTGGAATAAGCTTATTCCGACGGCACTATTTTTGAATCTCGTGAACCACAGTTCCTAGCTTAGATCTGATTGTACACAGAAAAAGTCGTGAGTTAGTCGGTTCTAGTCGCGGAATTTTAGTTTTAGTCGCTCCTTTGTTAAGACGTAACCGATTTATTATTTCTTTATGCCTGTGTTCGTCTCGGAGCTCACGTACAAATTTTGCTTAATATACAGAAATTGTTTTTTTTTTTTAAATACATTATGGCCAGGCTAAATAAGTAGGTCAGTCGATAGAGCACTATGGGTATTTATTACTATTAAAAACGGGACACAGAAATATTACATACATAGATACTACGACGTAAGTAAATACTTGTAACAGGAACTAATATAAAATTACAGCAAAAAAGACTCGCGCACTTGAAAGACTTCTAACTCGAACCAGTGTTAGACGCGGGTTCTTGGACACTTAACTGGGGCGCGCGAGGGTGAGGGTCGGTAATCACGCATAAAACGGAAGTTACCGGAAGTTGTTTCGTTATTACCATAATTGGTCATGAAAAAGCTTAGAGGATGGGAAAAAAATAAAAGAAAGGAGCTGCCCTAACTACAGAATCAACGTGCATATAACCAAAATTTGAAATTTACATATGACGGATTTCTTTAGTGTTGTACCATAATCTATCAATAAGTCATTATCGACATGCAAATGTATGGCTTGAATGTTGAAACGGTTTTTTTTTTGTTTCTTTAGTTTACTGTAACCAAAGTATGCCTAAACACACACGAGTCTAATAATAACTGAGAATAACTAGTAAATGAGTCTTGTTTAATCTAAATTGAACATAAAATTATTTACCAATAAACCTAATGATGGAAGTGCATTGTCATGTGTCATAGACCAACTCCGTCGCCTGGATACGGTTGTTGACATGTTTCACTTGTCACTTGAAAATATATGGATTTGATCGAGTAACGCTTTTGCATTTCAATATATATTTAATATTTTGGCGACGATGGCGGAAGAATTAGACCGTCTCACGCGTTTACGGGCCGCAATACGCGGCCAATTAACGAAACTACAGACACAATTGGAACAAATACAAATTACATCGGATTTCGAAGTAAGTCAAAGACTGTCAAATCTCGAAAATTACAAAAAGAAATTTGATAATATTCAAAGTGATATAGAAGGTCAAACGGAGAATCTAGAATCGGAGATTGAACAACGACATACCACGGAAGAGATCATTCTACAGATACAGGTGAAACTACATGGCTTACGCCCTGCTCCCTCTACCGATGTGCCTTCTACATACATGTCGGCGGCACAACACGCTAGGAGCTTCGAAGGTATCCCTGTACACAGCACGGTACAATTAACTTCTCAACGCGACCCGCACCCCAGACTCAATTTCATGCCGTTTCATGAAAAAGAATCGTTCAAGAACTATATGAAAAGGCTTTCAGTATATCTTATGCTGAACAATATTAATGATCCCAAAATGAAAGTTTACATGCTTCTGTCTACATTGCCTCCGGAACTACACGAAAGAGCCCACGATCTGTGCTCTCCAGAAGATCCGCTCTGTAAGACTTTCGAAGAGCTATCTGACATCTTAGACAATTACATCGACCCGAAACCTAGCATATGGGCATCTCAACATACCTTCATATCACGACTGCAGCAGCCCGATGAATCAGTCGCCGTGTACGCGTCGGAACTGAAGAGACTGTCAATGAACTGTGAATTCAAATGTCCACACTGCAAGAAACCTACGCTTGACACACCTCCGCCGTGGCGGAATATTACACAAAGTCCGGACAGTCAAAACTCTACTTCGGGCCACCCCGGTTGGAGACTCACCATATTTGCTTATGTTTGGACGACAAATAAGAACTAGGCTAGCCGCGAAGATCCGTGCGCGACCAAAGTCTGAACCCCGACTTGGTACCATTGTGAGGGAGTTCTTACCAGGGAGCAGAGTTCAAGCTCGAAACTACTCCATATTTGGGAGCAAGTGGGAGTTCGGTAGAGTGACCCGTCGTCTCGGAAACCTACATTATCAGATCGAAACTGCCAACGGCCGCATCTGGATCCGCCACCTGGACCAGCTGCTCCCGGCTCCAGGTATTCTTGGGAATCACGGCGGAGGTGTGTCATAGACTAACTCCGTCGCCTGGATACGGTTGTTGACATGTTTCACTTGTCACTTGAAAATATATGGATTTGATCGAGTAACGCTTTTGCATTTCAATATATATTTAATATCATGTAATCTAGTTACATACAAAGTTCTGTTAAAATTTGACTCTTCAAAATGAAGCGAACAAATGAAGATGGTCTTTGATCCAACGTTTATATTCGGCAGTCCTATGATTTCCAACTATTCTTTCTTCCTTTTTTCATTTGTAGGAAAACATGAAATATTAAAAAAAGAACAATAAAAACCTCGTAGTGAATTGTTTTAATAACAGAATATCGATAATATGTATGCTTATAAAATCAACACTATCTCAAAATAATCGTTAACAACAATCATCAAAATATACAAACAAACAGGCAATCTAAAGTAACAAAAGCAAAATTTGGCAAGATTTATAAATAAACTACTTACATAAGTCTAATTACATGAAATATTTTGGCAATTGTGTGATTTATAGACAAAAACATAACTCATGCCTGTGCAATGTAATATTCGATTGATTTGCACTTTTTCTAAAGCCACATTCCTTAATGCTGTAGCGTCGCATTTTTATTAATACCTAATTATTCTCACTGTCAATATTTTTGTCCAATTTAATTATAATACATGCGAATAATTCAATAGTACATTTGGAAAATCATTTGTTTTGACATTAGATGTACTTCCCTTTGACAACGGTATCATGTACCTCATGTACTGCGAAATGGACACGGTTGGCATTTAAGATGACGTTACGTATTTTCGATTCCCGTGTTTGACACAGACCAATGTAATGTTATCTCTTTTGGCTTAAGACGGCACGTAATAGTTAAAAAAAGGCAATAACATTTTTATGTTTTCGACGTCGAAATGCATCATATACATATAACGTCTGATTTATATATATCAACGTAACATGTCCTTTATAGTTTCCATAGTCTAAGTGAAAAAGTGATAGTTTGGCAAAACAGGGTCGATGGGGAGAAGCGTCATCTACATTCGCAAAGATTAAACTACTTCCTCGAGAATGGGTGGTCGTCGCGATATCGGGTAAGACGCTTTCTAGTACGCTTCGGACGAACTAGATGGGTTGACACGCTATACTCTCCTTGCAGTTCATGTAGGAGACCTCGCTCATGAACTGGCGAAAGTAGTTCCCCTCTTGCGTCTGACTCGGTGCTACACGTTCTCATTCGCCGAGGACACTCACGTCGAGGTAAGGGTACTATAGGTACCGCAGCAGTATTAAATCGATCACGATAAGGGGTGAGTTGCTTTGCATGGTATTTTCGAAAATTTCTATTCGATTTTTTTAATGGCGCAAAGAAGAAAGTCTTAGGAAACACTTGTTTTGTAGGTGTCAGCCCGTTGGGAGACATGGTGGTGGTGTGGTGGCGGACGATGCGGTCCCGTGACAATACGGTGCTGAGCGAAAGGTGTCAGCTCTCCCCCTGGCTGAAAAATATCATCATTGTCAGATAACTGATTCGTATCCAGTGACTGAAACCGCATGCTTTCATCGACCCTAAGCACGTCAGAGGAGGAGC